TTCACCCATCCGAGCCACAAAAGCAACAGAAATCGATTATATAATGAGTAGATATTGTTACGAAGCGGAATTGTCGGCTATGTTATTTTCGAGTAAATCATAGAAACTCACAGCTACGAGGTTAAAACGTAAATTAATGAAGAGAACTGTCGATCCAACCAATCTGTGGAGGAATCGTTTGAATCTGACGAGAATTTTCACGATACTTTTTAATAATAGAACTACCGAGACAATTAAAATAATTGATTGTTTGTTTCTCATAGAACTTGAATATATAACAATATATTTTTTTACGATTTGAGTAATAACTTTGAAAGTATATGGATAAATGCTGCCATTCTTTTACATTATGTTTTAATATTTCTTCATTATTCATGTTAAAGTTTCTACAGTTTTTATCTAAAATAAAAAGTTCACTAAAAAATTACATCTTATAGTATTTCTTTTGGTTTGAATTCATAACTAATCGAAAGTACAAAGAGCCTCGTTTAAGAAATTTTCTTTCATTTATTTCCTTTTCCTACAAACAACTATCATACGATTATTAAATCTTGCAACAGTGTCCTTGAAAGGAAGTGAAAGACGCGAAAATTGTTTGGTAGATACTAGTATCTAAAGAAATTGCTATTAATCAACGTAATCAATCATTCCGTTAGACATTTGAACGATAGTGAAAGGACTGAAAAGGACTTCAAATCAAATATTTATATTTATATTCATATTATGTAAATTTATATATTTATATTATATATGTATATTATTTTCATAATTACTTTTACATTTATAGGAACTGCCGTATCTGTCGGCGTGTTCAGTCATATTTTGAAGATTGACGACGCTATCGTGGGAATCATGAGCTCTATGAGCAAGATTTTAGCTGGTTTTGTCTATGCATTTGCAATCACGGACTGGATGATTTATTTAGGTAAGTGTTCACATAAAAATTGAATCGAACGAATATATTGAATATTTCAAACGTGTTACCAATATCTTTTGAAAATATTTCCAACGAGGACTTTTATCAGTTAAGAATATTACCAGCATGGAAATTTGAGTACAAATGGACAATATGTTAAAGAATAAAATTTCTACCTATGAAAACATGGTGGAAATTACATTATTATGCGTGAAATTTCGTCGTGTAGAAAGAAATTAAAATCCAAAAATGTTACTTTTTTTCAATCCTCTTTGCTTTATTTTATTTTCAAATGCAATCAAACCGTATGTATGCTCATTATAAATGACACGATAGAAAGTGGCAAATTTACTCAAACAAATTGATAATGCGTCAAATAACAGGGAAGACATTGGATAAGGTAATGCAACATCATTTTCATGCATCCTTGTTCCAGCGGCCATCGTCGAAATCGTCAATGGCACATCTTTCATAGCGATGCGATCGATAGCATCTAAACTCGTATCTACAAGCGAACTTGGTGAGTTGAACGCAAATTTATTACCTCGGCATTGCAGACTGACATTGCGGAACGAATGCTTTTTTTTCTTTTTTTTTTTTTTTTTTTTTTTTGTGAAATCCAAGAAACATGTAACAAGTACCGTTACGTGAACATGATCATTATGTTACACGTATTCAGGATATTCATTTTTGTAATTAACAGAATACTCAGCATATCTTTCTCGGTGCATTAGTAGGATACAATGCAATTACATAATTGGGATACGTCGTATTCTTTGGGAACTTGATCAACTTGATTCACGTAACGTTAAGGATAAAGCTTAGCAACTTAGAAACAAGTAGGAGATAAAAAAAGAAGAAGAGTAAAGTAAAAATCACTCTCAACTCTTCAACAATTTCAGATCCCTGCTCTATTTTCTTCGAATATTTTTCCTTCAGAATGAAATCCCTCTTTTACAATCTTCCTTCGTTTAAATGCTTAGAAACTTGGTTTAGTTTGCACGAAACACCTGGTACGCGTGTGTAATTAAAACAGATCTATCTGCAGTTGAGTATTCGAAATACGTTATTACGAAATTAAACTCAGATCCAGCGTGATACGTAGCGGCCTTCGCCCTAATCGGACCGTTTTGAAACGCGTTTACCTCCGTAGATTTTCTTAGAACAGCACAAATAGGATAATCTTCCTTCGTCGAATATCTTTCGGTCAAATAGGCGCCGTTTCCAACCAATTTTCCACGGATTTTCCTTTAGGTTGGAATAACGTCTAACGACGTTTTCCTGTCTGGTTAACATCGTTAACGCAATCATCTTTCTTTGTGTTTTCCCTAATACCGTTATTACACCTCGTACACTAAGAAATTACATTAATCATTTATATAGAACTTTAGCCGGCACATCGTGCGTTGCAATAACCGCCCCGAGTTAAATTCTTCTTAACATTCGGATGCTTTACCTCAATTCACGTTAACTTTATTTCAGTCAATTTCAGTTTAATTCAATTCATTTAGTTTGAACCCCAACTCTAACTCGAAGCAGTGCAGTAATCGCTACACTATAATCCTACGATGTTATTGAAGATTAACCATTTTGTACTGCGCCGCCATCGCTTCAGCGATATTCTTAATGTGCAAGCTGTTACTTGATTCCCCTTTCGCTGATAAAAATTTGAGAAAAAGAAGACGATTACTATCTATAAGTAAAAATTTACAGATATCTCTCTAACTTTTTCCTCTGTATAGCGAATATTTGTATTTACCTCCTCTAACAATTTAATCGAATAATTTTCTTTCACTCTTTGAAGAGCCGAATAAGCGAACAGAAATACAATATATTGACAGAATGATCGTTTATCCGATGTTTTTTCTTTAAATTTGCAGGCAAAGTAAATTCGTTGCTCGGCGTTTGCGAGTCTCTAATGCCACTCATTTATGGGCCCATGTACAGTTCCATTTACGCCGCAACCATGAAAACGTTTCCGGGGACGTTCTTCATTGTCGGCGCTTGCATGACCATGCCAGCAGTCGTCGCGTTCTTGTAAGTTCTTCCGGTCGCAGGTCTTTCAAATAAATCTACCATTGCGACAATGCCTATCGATTGACTTTATCGAGAACTTTGTCAAGTCGCGGGACTGCCTTTTACACAACGTGAGATTCGAACGATCGATCTTTTTTTAATTGACGAATGATTTAAGTAATTTTACATGGACGAATGAACAAAAGGAAGGAAATGTGTTAAGAACACAATTTTCTTTCTTTTTTTTTTTTTT